TGAAGAAGGCTTCTCTATCATGGTGTGTGTGTTTGAATTGTACTCACCTTTGGGGTCGTCTCGGACCACCAGAAGACCATTTCGACACACTATCTTTCCTGTAGCTGCGTCCACAAACACCAGAGACGGGATGCTGGTCACCTTGTACTTGTTCCACAGCTTCATCTGTGGAAGAAAAAAGATGAGAGGTAAGGTTGGAAGTGTTTGGGTGGAAAATATCTCTATTTATTTTTGTTTCAGTTTCAGCAGAGAAATGATTTTACCTATAGTCTAAAATGAATACTATTGTTCACAAATATTACAGAGTAAACAAATGTCCGTGGTTGTTTAAAGGAGGAGCGCAGGACAAAGGCACAGTAAACGCAGCTCCGTAGTGAATTTACAAAAGGTGGATCCAGACTCCACTGCCCCTGCTGAATCCTGAATCAAAGTAAAAACAGGTGCGAGGTACAAAAGGATTTATATTTTGGCATTTTGCAGACATCTGTTGACATTAAATTTAATCACGATATCTTCTATATGACATTGTGGTATTAAGAGTGCCTCGTGAAGCCAGAAAGGACGTTACAGACCAAAACGTGCGTGAACAGTTCACAAGAGTTCAGCACTCGGCGAAGCTCTTAACATCAAAGAGAGGATAAACTATTTCTGAGACACTTTCCACATGGCAGAAATCTACCTCAGGAATAAAAAAAACAGCCACGTAGAGAGAAACTGTCTGCATTATTCAGCCGCTTCAGCCCAAAAAGGATGCTTCACATAAAATCCTGAATCAAGCTTTGGAACGTTAGAAAGTGTGAGCTACACCAGATGACTAAAACTACAAAGTATATACCTGTACATAGTAACAAAAAAGTATTATATTACTTCCTGCTGCATTAAAAGACACCGCAAATGAAAAAAAAAACTGATGATAATAAGTTTAAAGTAAGTTTGGTTAAACTGAGCTCAATGCTGATTAAAACCTTTCTGTTACGGTTCATGTGCAAACAGTGACTTCACTGCACAAAGATATGCAGACTTAAGAAAAGATAATGTTTTACGTACCGCCTCCTTTGAGAACGTGTGATGACTACAAAGGTGAAACACAAGCCCTCTCTGACAGCCGAGCGCAGGATGTCGGACCAATAACACAACCTGGAGTCTTCGGACTTTATTGGTCCGGAAGACTCTCGCAAGCAAACATCAATGTCTACCCCTGTCCACACTTAGACCACACACCTGGTGCTCCTTTGGAACTCAGTCCCTGCTCACAATCTAATGGGTGCTCATTGAGACAGACTGTAAAAACCAACAGTCTGTGCCACTCAGGCCTTGTTCACACAGAAACACATTTTATCCCAAACCAATTGTTTTGTTTGTCATTTGTGTCTTCACAACCAAAACACTATTCTGTGAAATCACCTAATTTGCACAAAAAGCTACTGTAGTAAAAAGGGAAATCTGTATGTGGCACAGTGAAGACAGAAAAATACACCAAAAACAGGAAACAAGCATTTGTGCTGGATATGAAATGTAAATACAAGGGATGGGGCCGATCCGGTATCGGTATCGGCCTCCGATAGCAGCATAATTTACGTATCTAATTTTTCCGATCCAACCTGCAGAGATTTCCGATCCATGATGCACGTTGGCTTCAAACTATGGAATGGATTTCCTGCACGGAGGTGTGTCTCATGAACCCAGACACGAATAAGACCCACCTTACATTCAGGAAATCCATTTCATAGTTTGCAGCCAGCTACAACGTGAGGACTATGTGAGCAGCATTGTGGCTAACGGCTAACCAACTTTTCATCTAAACATGTCCGCTGTGTGGAAGTATTTTACACTAAACACCACAAAACAAGACAGCAATGTGCAATGTCTGCAGAGCCATAGCACCACATTAAACTGCGGTTAAAATTAGTTTTTTGTCTTCAGCGGGACGCTACTCTTGCTTAACCCGAAACAGGCAACTCGACCCAGGCCAGCCGTGTCCAATCTGCCTGTCTCTGAGGAGGGGCAGACTGAGCGTGGCTGACGGAAATCAGGCTGTCTGCTTTGGATTGAACAAGAAGACATCGCTGAAGCCCCGGAGCTCGAATGTTTACCGAGAAGTTGCTAAACTTCATCATAATTAATGACCAACAGCTATCAGTTGTAGAAAACGAAGGATTTTGCAGCTTGATACTTGCAGGCAAGATACAATTTACCCTCCAGAAGATATTTATCAGTACAACAGAAGACAATCATAAAAAAACTTATGATTTGAAAATTACAATGAAA